AGCCAAAAAAAGAAAAAGAGAGAGAAAGAAAGAAAAAGAAAAAGAGAGAGAAAGAAAGAAAAAGAAAAAGAGAGAGAAAGAAAGAAAAAGAAAGAAAGAAAAAGAGAAAGAAAAAGAAAGAAAAAGAAAGAAAGAAAAAGAGAGAGAAAGAAAAAGAAAGAGAAACAAAGAAAGAAAGAAAGAAAGAAAGAAAGAAAAAGAAAGAGAAAGAGAGAGAAAGAAAAAGAAAAAGAGAGAAAAAGAAAAAGGAGAAAGAAAGAAAGAAAAAGGAGAAATAAATAAAGAAAAAGAGAACGAAAGAGAAAAAGAAAAAGAGAGAAAAAGAAAAAGGAGAAAGAAAGAAAGAAAAAGGAGAAAGAAATAAAGAAAAAGAGAACGAAAGAGAAAAAGAAAAAGAGAGAGAAAGAAAGAAAAATAAAGAAAGAAAAAGAGAGAGAAAGAAAAAGTAAGAGAAACAAACAAAGAAAGAGAAACAAAGAAAGAAAAAGAAAGAAAGAAAGAAAGAAAGAAAGAAAGAAAGAAAAAGAAAGAAAGAGAGAGAAAGAAAGAAAGAAAAAGAAAAAGAAAGAAAGAAAAAGAAAAAGAGAAAGAGAAAAAAGAAAGAAAGAGAAAGAAAAAGAGAAAGAGAAAGAGAAAAAAGAAAGAAAGAGAAAGAAAAAGAAAAAGAGAAAGAGAAAGAGAAAAAGAAAGAGAAAGAGAAAGAGAAAAAGAAAGAAAGAAAAAGAAAGAAAGAAAAAGAGAAAGAGAGAGAAAGAAAGAAAAAGAGAAAGAAAAAGAGAGAGAAAAAAGAAAGAAAGAAAGAAAGAAAGAGAAAAAAAGAAAGAAAAAAGAAAGAGAAAGAAAGAAAGAAAAAGAAAAAGAAAGAAAAAGAGAGAAAGAAAGAAAAAGAAAGAGAAAGAAAGAAAGAGAAAGAGAGAAAGAAAGAAAGAGAGAAATAAACAAAGAAAGAGAAAGAAAGAAAGAAAAACCTTCTGGGATTTGCTAGATCTTTGTAAGACTAAGCAATAGTCACATTGTACAATAGATATGAGTCTCATGTATTTGATTCAAATCTAGCAACTAAATGTTCTCTGGTGTGGACCACCTGGGGTTGACAAAAAAATATTGTAAAAACAAAACAAAAAAATCTAAGAAAATACAACAACCAAAAACAACAAAATGCAAAAAAAATAAAATCAAAGCAAAGCAAAGCAAAGGGGAAAAACAGAACTAAACTAAACAAAACAATGCTAAAACTTAACTTGAAATTGAAAACCAAAATACAAAACAAACACACATTGGTATGTGTAGTTTACAGGGACTCTCCATAGGTGTAATGGTGTTTATACTTTACAAACTATTTTCTATCCCCTTACCCTAACCCTGCTCTTAACACTACCCATCACAGAAAACGTTCTGCATTTTTAGATTTTCAAAAACAAACAAAACAAATGTTCAATACTGTAGTAGCCCAGGACCACGGCTGGGTAAAATGCATGCCGCTGTGTGAAGCTGGTTGTGTTTGTGTGTGATTGTGCCTGTGGAGGGTAGGTAGAGCTCTGGGGCTTTATGCTGGCGACGTGCCAGGTTGTTACACACTGGTTGGGCTGGTGTAGCTGCCTCTTCAGTTAAACACACACACAGCTTTGAGTCTTTTGCTGCGCTTATCTTTGTTTTATTGTGCTCAGCCCTTTGAAGTCATGACATAGTACACATTTGCTCATTGCACAACACAGTCAGATATATTCACAGTCACATCAGGCACGACCAATAGAGACTGTCAATGACACTCAAGTTGAATCATTAGAGACTTAATGCTACACTCGATATATCTTCAGTGACATTTTGTAGAAAAAAGATCAAGGCGACTTTTTTCTTGTGCAGAATGTTGTTTGAATTTCGGCGTAAAATCTCATGTGTTCTTATTGCTATTAAGCATCTGTGTATGATGCGTGTATAAGCGAAGAACTTAGATTTTTCAAACTTTTATTCCTTAAAGGAATAGTTTGTTGCTAGGAATAGTTAGTCGCAGAAAATGTACTCACTATCAGGCCATCCAAGATGTAAATATGATTTTTTTTTCATTGCAATGGAAATTTAGTATTATATCACTTACTCACCTGTGTATCCCTCTGCAGTGAATGGGTGCCATCAGAATGAGAGACAAAACAGTTGATAAGAACATCACAGTAATCCACACCACTCCAGTACATCAGTTAACATCTTTTGAAGTGAAAAATTGGATGTTGGTATGAAATCCATTAAGATGTTTTTAGTTTCAAACTTGCTTTTGGCTAAAATATGAGTTGTCTATCCATAATATTGCTTACTTTAGTAAAAAAAAAAAAAAAA